GGCACATGGCATTTAAAAGCATCACTTTAAGCAGGTACGTACGCTGTGGATGCCCAGGGCCTTCCAAACGGTGAAGCTCAGGAGACCAACTCCACACCAGGCGTAAAGTGAACCCCATCCCAACGCCCGCAATGCTAACGCCGCACCGCTTTCTGGCACCGCAGCAGTTCCTATCACACCCTGAACACATCAAAAGAAAAAGAGGGTCATTTACTGCAGATCTCGTATTGTACTAAAGTATTTTGTTCAGTATGTTTACGCTTACAAGCTATTAATGTATATCATAATGCATTTTTTTTTTTTGCTGCATTAACAGACACTGTTTAAATTTTCACAACCAAACCAGCATTAAAAAGTAAATGGGGTAAATTTTGGATTAATCTTGATTTCACAAAACCCCATTTTTTCTCAGATTTCAGTAGTAAAAAGCATTGAACACATCTGCAAGACTGCAACCACACTTAATAATCACCCTCCGAAATATAAAAGGTTAAAATAAATTCTTCAGAGGAAAAAAAAACAAGCAGATAAACTTGCACTGATGTACAAGTATCATAGGTATGCATTTAATTATATTCTGAAATGAAGTAAAATACCGGTAAACATTGCAAAACATTTACAAACATTATAAAAAAATATATAAACATTTTAGCTCCACAACAAATAATTTAAATGCAACGGTATTCAACAGATATAAAAATATAGTGTAGGTATAAAACAAACATAATACTGCGATTCATTACAAACAGCATTAATTATAAATGCCAAACTATTTTAAAGAGAATCAAACTACTGTTAAGTTGCTTTAGAATATAAGCAGCAGCACGTTTCAGATGATAAAAAAAAGCAAAGTCCTAAAAAAAAACGCTGCTCTGCCCACCCTCAAATTTGTATTATATTCCTGCACCTCTATATATGACTTGATTTCTGTCTGCCTGGCAAAATCTTTCTGCCTAAGTCTAATCACTTAGGGGAAAAAATAATATCACATATATATACTCAACAAGCTACACATTTTGAGAGATCATTCATGTCCATATCACAAACTCTGCAGGACAAGCTGATACTGTGCCACAGTGACACTGCCCTGAGAGGACATAACAGGTCTAGTCAAGTGATTTGTCATTAAAGGAACCGGGCAAGACATATGATCCGTCGCGTCACTGACATATTGGATTTAGCCACTTAAAAAGCATTTTTGGCAAGACGTGTTTACTGATGTGAGATAGTGGTCTTAAAATAGGAATGCAAAAAAAACAAAAACAGAGGCCTCTGTTCATTTCTGAGTTTATGTTCAAAACAAGTCATAAACTGGAATCGTTGTCAGCATTTACGCAATGTCTAATTTTGTGAAGTTAGCAGACATCAGCCTGCCATGCTCTACTGATTATATGAATAACCAGAGCAAAAACAGCTTCCGAGAAAGAAGAAAACGATTTCTGTAAGCAGAGGAGCACTATGATGCCACATTTTCAAAATACTTTAGGACTAGGACTAATATAACACACTAAATGAGACTGAAAAAAAAAAACATTTGCTCACATTCTGAACTAAGTTTCAGATCTCAGTTTTCTTTGCATTCACACTGCAATTGAAAGTGATTTTTGCTCCACTTAATTGTGACCGGGTCACTTTTCATTTCACGTACATTTTTTGTAGCATTATTTAATATTGTTGTTGATGATAATGATAATTATTAGATTTTTCTTGCATTTAAATGTCACTTCATTATGATTGTCACTTTTCACTTAGACTTTAGAACAATGTTGAGTTGACTAAAAAACATGTAGTTTTTTATTCTGCGAGTCATTATTATTATTAATAATAATACAATAATAGGATTTCTTATTCCTAAAATAATAATAATAATAATAATAGGACACTGTGTGTCAGGGTCTTTTTTTTGGAACACTGTTGAGTTGAGTATTAATTTTGATGATAGAAAAAATAATAATACTAAAAAAAATGATGGTAACAATTTACTTAAAGCGTTTATGTACAATGCATTATAAAAGTAGTTTTAATGCATTAATTATGCCTTGTAATGCACCTTATAATGCATTACACCATTTAATAACCCTTGCATTATACATAAAGACTTTTAAGTAAAGTGTTACCAAAATTATTTTACAACAGCTGTTGTAATTTCTTCACTTATATGGCATTTAAATCCTTATTTTCACGAAACCCCAAAAGATGACCGTTGATTTTCAGTGTGTAGTTGATGCATGTTAGTACTAAATGTCAGTAATGTATTGCAGAAAAGCTTGATACCTTATTGAACCACTCAGGACTCTTCTTCTTAGCCATGGCAAGGGTGCAACCGAACCCTGCAATCATACCTGCTGTGGCTACAGTAGTGAGGAAAGCACCACCTGAATGAGAGACAACAGACTGAGGTCAACATTTGTCTGGACAAGCTACTGGATTAAAGACAGAGTTAAAACAGAAGGACTCATGTACTACAACTGCACTGCTGTATTTAGTGAAATACTTCGAGGCATCATTAACTAACACTGACTGCAGCACATTTTGGGTTTGTTGGCAGAGAGTGCAGGTCCAGAGCCAGACTCATGCATTCATCGTCTACAGCCCACATGAAGTAACAGCACCATGACAACCGCATTGAGCGCAAACAGAGCAGAGGACCATAGAAACTGATTTTAGTGTACTGTATAAAGAGGTTAGAGGATGTTAATCGATGGTATGCTTCTGTGATCTATCATTAATTTGAAGAAAATCATATTTAATTGCTGAATGATGTTACACTATCATGATCCTGACGAGAGAGACTATGTTACCATAGTCAGAAATTAACTAAACAATTGCGCAAAAAAGCCACTGAAAATCTTAGTAGTAGTAGTAGTAGTAGTTAGTAGTAGTAGTAGTAGTTAGTAGTAAGTAGTAGTAGTTAGTAGTAGGTAGCAGTAGTTAGTAGTAGTATTAGTAGTAGTAGTTAGTAGTATAGTAGTAGTAGTTAGTAGTAGTATTAGTAGTAGTTAGTAGTAGTAGTAGTTAGTAGTATAGTAGTAGTAAGTAGTAGTAGTAGTTAGTAGTAGCATTAGTTAGTAGTAGTAGTTAGTAGTAGTAGTAGTAGTAGTAGTCGTAGTAGTTAGTAGTAGTAGTAGTAGTAGTAGTTAGTAGTATAGTAGTAGTAAGTAGTAGTAGTAGTAGTTAGTAGTAGTATTAGTAGTAGTTAGTAGTAGTAGTAGTTAGTAGTATAGTAGTAGTAAGTAGTAGTAGTAGTTAGTAGTAGCATTAGTTAGTAGTAGTAGTTAGTAGTAGTAGTAGTAGTTAATAATTGCTCGGATCGATTCCGTTCGACTCGTAAGGACCTCTGGCTTGTTAACAGGTTCACTAAAAAGATTTGACTCCAAGAAAGATTTGTTCACAAATCGTACAACGCTATTTGCGAATTAAAAGTAACGTTACCAGAATTGTAGAATGTGCGAATATGGACTTAACCGTATTCATAAATTATTTGTGACCCTGGAGCACAAAACAGTCATAAGTAGCGCAGGTATATTTGTAGCAATAACCAACAAAACATTGTATGGGTCAAAATGATTGATTTTTCTTTTATGCCAAAAAACTTTAGGATATTAAGTAAAGATCATGTTCCATGAAGATATTTAGTAAATGTCCTACTGTAAATATATCAAAACTTAATTTTTGATTAGTAATATGCATTGCTAAGGACTTCATTTGGACAACTTTAAAGGCGATTTTCTCAATATTTTGATTTTTTTTTTGCACCCTCGGACTCCAGATATTAAAATATCTCAGCCAAATATTGTCCTATCCTAACAAACCATACATCAATGGAAAGCTTATTTATTCAGCTTTGATTATGAATACAACTCTTTTTTTTTCTTTTTTTAAATGACCCTTACGACTGGTTTTGTTACATGACATTTAGCATTTAGGTCTAGGTTTCTGCTTTAATGTATGATTAATCAGAATAAGATCAGTTATCCAAATGAGTAATATCGACGGATAATCCATCAAGTTTCATTCATAAACACCAATGGTCGAATATGCGATTAAAATACATCAAACCTTTTATCAAGTGTGATTTGTCGTCTTCGGTGTCATTGACTGGCCCACTCGCGCGCGCCTGCTCCACTGACATCTTGAACGGGTCCGACTGACAGACATCCGGCGGAAACACGTCAGGCGGAACGCTTCATGATACAGAGAGAAATAGTGGAAATGACATACAGCTTTCACTGGGCATAAATAGCATTATAAGCGTGCCTGCTGTTATACTCTTACTCTTAAAGTGTATTTATAATTGCGACATGATTACAAGAATAAAATCAAACCAAATTCAAATAATGGCAGAGTAACAATAAGACTGTCAGGGTTTGTGTTGTGCGGATATCCGCAGTTCTGTAGGTATATGTATTGTGTTTTATTTTTCACCATGATAAAACAATATCTTCAAACTCATAATAAAGTGAAATTGTATGGAACTAGATATGTGTCGGTGAGAGGAGGACTGAGGTTCCGCTGATCAGATCGGCTGTGTTTTAAAACCGAGTGAGCTGCCTACCTAGACAACATGCGGGGCATCACAGACAGAGAGGAAGAGCTGTCTGTTCTTAATATTCAGACGTTTCAAATGTTATATTTTATTATTACAATATTTAAAAACATTATGAAATATTTGTTAGTGTTTTTATTGATGCTACGACATAAGCACAAATAAAGCGCCTATATGCTGTCTACATAGGCAACTCGTTCACTCTGTCTTGAGATACATTTACAAAATTGGTCTGTGTCAAAAGTTTACCCACTTTTGAAATACATGCCCCTAAAAGGAGTGTATGCTGGCAATTAACTCTTTTGAGACATGCTCAAAAATAGGTTTTGAAATATGGTTCCCAAAAAACGTGGTCTAGTTTTGCAGCTCACTGGGTTTTGAGGCACAACCTCGAAATGCTGTACTGACAGATCACTAAGTTTTAAACCGTAACTCACTTTGTTTTGAGCACACCCAAATATGCTGTCTACATAGACAGCTGGCTGTGATTTGAGACGGCGCCGCTGTTTATAGGGTCATCGTGTGTTGTGAGCTCATGCAGTCAAAACCTAAAGAAGAAGAAGAGCTCATGCAGTTCACGCGGGGATCCACTCCTGCGCACAGCGAAACTTCATCATCGTCATCATCATCATCGATACAGATGATTAAACACCCGCCTCTGTTTGTTTGCTGGTGCATGATTGTGCATGCGGCGTCAGAACTAGATGTCTAGCTGCATTGAAACCTCCCACTGAACGGGATTAACGAGGACATCGGAAGGGCGTTCTTAACGTTAGATTCCAAATGTTTTGAGTGGATTTGGTTTCATCGGAGCGCTTCTGAACCGCATTGACGGAGTTACAAGCTTTAAGACGCCAGCAGACTAAGCGAGATTTCTGGGCATGATGTCCACATGCCTCTGTGTCCTGTTGTGTTGAGGATAGACATCTGCAATGAGGGAGTTATCCAAACAAACATGTAAACCAAACACGCGGATCTTATTGCTTTCCCATCGTTTCGGATGCACGTATTAGCGTTTCTAACGCAATGCATTTAAAACATTGAAGATTTCAATAAAACATGGAGATAAGAAAATGGTTCCTGGGTGGTGCAATGCTTCCTCCATCAGATCAGAGATGTTTCTTCAAGATCCAGCTGTCTCGTTTGGACGTTTGAATTCTGATTCACTTGTGTTGCTTTAAAGTTGCGTTTTATTGCTGGTGGGTAGATGACAGGCAACATGCATCTCGGGGTAGAGGAGCCCATCCGAGAGTGCCAGTACAATCAGATCTGCACACATAACTCCTCACCCATGGACACTCCACACACCAAGAAGAAGAAGATCAAAAGGAAATGGCAGGTTTTTCCTGGCCGAAATAAGTTTTACTGCAACGGCAGGATCATGATCGCAAAGCAGACTGGGGTCTTCTATCTTACAATGGTTCTCATTTTGGTGACCAGTGGCCTCTTCTTTGCCTTTGAGTAAGTACATTGAACCAGTAGATTCAGTGTCTTCTCCCTACTCCAGACATTAGCACAAACGTTTTTAGGGCACATACACTCTTAAAAATAAAGGTTATTTTCTGGCATTTATGGGATAATGAAGAACCTTGAACACCTACACTCTAAAAAATGCTGGGTTAAATACAACCCAGTGCTGGGTAAAATAGGGACAAACCCAGCAACTGGGCTGTTTTGACCCAGCGGTTGGGTTAAATGTTTAACCCAACCTTCTGGGTAGAAAGTTAACCGCTGGGTCAAAACAACCCAATTGCTGGGTTTGTCCCTATTTT